ACACACACACACACACACACACACACACACACACACACACACACACACACACACACACACACACACAGTTGTGATCTGAATAGTGGTGAAGCTTAGACAAAGCTGCCAGTATAAGAGAGAATAATAAAGGCAGACAAACACAACCTGAGGAAAACAGAATGTTACTGTTAAAGCTAATGTTGTTGTAGTTGTAATGTTAAGGACGCTTTCAAAAAAAGAAAAATGAAGTCCTTACAGTGAAGGATTTTATCATCAATTTGGGATTTTGGAAGCTCCAGAAGCTTGAGCATAAAGGAAGTTGAAAAGATTTATTATCATTCCATGAATCACCTCAACGTTTTCCAAACGATACTGTGATTTTAATCACAGTATCGTCTCAAAAATCTGCCTCAAAGTACCCAGGATGTTCAATTTCTTTATTTTGGTAACGCTAGCAGGAAAATAGATTAAATAGACAATGCAAATGTTTTACGGTGTTTACGGTTTTGATAACTTGTTATAGAAAAGTCTGAAACTGAACAGCCTCTCAACCAGGATAGAGATTAAAAATGAACGCCAACAAATATGGTCATTCAGGCTTGGAATAAGGTGGCAAAAACTAAAATTAAAAACTTCAGGATTTAAAATGAACCACAGACAAATGGGTGGCGTCAAGGTGACTCCGTCCAGAGTTATGCACAGCACATTAGGGCTCGACTAATAATCAGTCTGGCCAATGATCGACGGTCTATATTCGGCGTTTGAAGGTGCACTACTTTGGCTCTGCTGCAGATGTGTCCTCCTCTCTGGGTCTGTTTTCACCCGCCACTCTGTCTCACCTAGTGTCCCTACCACAACACCATCTGATTGGCTAGACACCACACGGCAAACAGCCAATCACCACTGAAGACATGCACAGAGACGAGAGCAGCCTGGAGCAGGAGGAGAGTCTCGGCATTGGCATCTAAACCAAGTCTTGTGTTGGAAATTTGTAATAATCAAAATTCTAAGTTTTGACAGAAAGATTTTCACATTTTCTGTAAAAGCATTTTGCTTCCAAATACCGGCTATCAATCTCATAAGCCATAGAAAATCAATGTATGGTCGACCCCTACAAAACCTTCCTGTGTTCTCTATCTGGTCAGGAGTCTGTCATATGAGCGTCAGGTCACAAGACCAAAGACATACAAACTAACACACACAGCAACATGCAGATCAATAGGACTCATACAGAAGAGTCGTCTTTATAAAGTCTACATGTGCATGTGTTAATGCATGCCTGTGATTTGACCTAATAGCAGCTTAAAGTGATGTAAGCCAGCCGACAGTTGCTAGAGTAACATCACTTACTTCAACACAACTGAAAATATGGAGGCCGCCGTGGTGGGAGATGTGTGTTTGTTGTGTGTGTGATCGGGTTTATCAAGTTAACTGAGTTTGAAAGCCTCGCTGGTCCATTTGCCAGAGTTTTTTTCTTCTATTTGTAATGATCGATAAGAGCTTTTTACCGACTGCTATTAACTCTTATTTGCAAACATTTATAGCGGGAATTTAATAATGGGAGTTGGTGGTACTGAATTTGCTCTTGTCAACAACATAAACTGACTTGTGGACTAATCCCTGTGCACTTAAAAGTCCCTGAAAGTCCCTCTTGTGTTTGGAGTACCTACTCTGAAGCAGGAGCTTAACAAGGTTCCTCTTTCTTTCTTTAACAAAAGAAAACTGCCGGTTTCACTACACAAAAAGGATGCTGACTTAAATACCAGAAATGATCCTTTAAATGTGCACACGCAGATGCACAGTCGTATGTGTGGTTCCTTTGAAGATGCCTCGTGACTGTTGCCAGGATTTATTCATGATAACAAGAGAATGGGTAGTGAATAATTCGATTTTATCAATGCACATCACTCCGCAATACCTGCTGCCTTCAGCTGACTGTGATGGGGTTTAATCTGAGGTTATAACCTGAATTACACTTTGAATATGAGGCGCTGATTACAACCGTATTATCCAGCATTCTTTTCAGAGTCACCCCTGAGAGGATGCCGCTTGTCGCAATAACAGGTGGCTTTTATTAAACAAATAATTTGAGACACAGGTTATTATTGCAGAACGTCAGGTTGAGTACAGGGAGTTAAGTATGTGTACACACACACACACACACACACACACACACACACACACACACACACACACACACACACACACACACACACACACACACACACACACACACACACACACACACACACACGGTTGTTATTTCATGATTAGGGAAATTAAATGATGCTCATCACCCTCATATTTTCCTTAACCACATGATTTATCCTATGGGGGACCTCACACTGTAAATAGTGAAGTCAATCAGCGAGAACTCTTTGATAAAAACACACCTCAGTATTTGCTCTTGGTAATTTTGCTCGGGGCATAGCAAATACCTCCCAAACCCTTCCTTTGCTGATTCTTTATATGTAACTTTTACCTGACTCTACCTGACTCTCATGACATTTTCAAGAAGGCCATTGTAACCTTTTACTGTAAAAATATATATGAATAAAATTGTTCAAAAACTTGCAAAAATGTTTTTTCCTACCTGGATGGGGAAGTCTTTAAATCAGACATCATTGCAGAATGTCAATGGATTTTTATTTTGACACAAAGCTTGATATTTTCCTGAAATTCATAAAACTCTAATGTTTGTTTTGATGATTTAAACGTTAAAATTGTAGGTAGAAAAAAAATAGATGCAGGAATATCCTGGTCTGGGCATAAACAATATGCAAACCTTGTATTTTGGTTTTGACAGAGGATGAGTCATCCTCCTGTATGGCAGAGAAAAAGCTTTACTGTACAAACACTTTGTGTGCAGAAGCCTGCACCGCTACAGTATGTCCTGCAGGACTGCTGTGTTTTTGGGGGAGTCCCCATGTGGACCGCCTCCATCCTGTGAACATGTATGCAAGCTGTGAGAAACAAAGACACCATTATATTCTGATACGTCTCGCTCCCTCTCTCTCCTCCCGCCTCGCTTGTCTCTCATCTTTTCTCAATGAAACACAGACACGCCAGTGTCATGTGGCTAATTGTGGTTAACACAGTGATTATCATCAGTCTGAACGCAGCCCCCTCCATCATCTCTGTTTCACACACACAAACATACACACAATGTCTGGTTGTGAATGAAATGTGGGCCAGACCATTGTGCATCTCTTTAAAGAAAGAGCCCTATTGTTGAACATGACATTAACCCCCCCTGGCTTCCTTCCTTCCTTCCTTCCTTTCCTTGTGCTCTCTCTCTTATTCTCCTTTTTGTCAACTTACACTTTTCACGGTTATGCTGATGAACGGCCACCAATGCAGCTTTCTAAAGGAGGGACAGGTTGTTTGAAATCTAAGCTGTGCACTGACTTTGGAACCGTTTTTAACCCTTTACATTGAAATGAATCGGACGCAGGACGCAGGAGTGATGGTGCAGTAACTATCGTGTAAATTGTGATCATGAATAACCAGTTGTGACAAGGTGTTCATTTGTGTGAACACAGTGAGGTGATGTTTCCGTCTCTCTTCACTGCATGTTCTTCTTGTATTACGCACTGTCACTTTATGCATAACCATCAGAGAGGAGCAGAAGTGTGTCAAACAGCCTGAGGGACGTGCACAACGACATCTTTTCAAGTTTGGACTCATTTGATATGACATCATCTAAGCTGTACTGATGAAGGAAAACTTGATCCTCATAAAAAAAATCAAATTTGGTTTATTATTTTCTGATAGTATTTGAGCACCAGTCTGTGTTAGCCATATGGTGCAGCCTGCTTTATGCATGTCTACTACAGCCTGACTCCTTGTCGCTATTCAGCTCAATTTACACCCTTCCATTGATCCTATTGGCTGCTGTTCTTCCTTGATATCTTTTAAGTATTAGATTATATGCATAGCAAGCAGGAAACCAAAAAACTGCTTGCACTGGCCGCCCTCACACTGATCTCTCCAGGCAGCCGGTACATCAGGAGTTTGAATGTAATGAGCTTTTCTGTAAGGAGCATACAGAAAATCTAATCATTGACTATTGAAGGAAAAAAAAGATGTTTCTATAGTAGGATAAAAAAAAGCATCAAAAAACATTAAAATTCTGATAAAATCCCGAAAAGAAATATTGCCTCAAATGTATTGGAACATGGTTTTATTCTGACTTGTGTATGGGTCAGTTCCAGACTTTGCATTGATTTCATTACTGGATCATTCTTACTTTATGCTCCTAATTCAAAGAAGATGTTTTAAAAAAAATGAAAATCCAGACAACATTTTTGCTGCATGCAACATGATGCTCTTTGATCACTGGACTCTGTGCAGAACGACTCTCAGCAAATGTCTGTGTAAAATGTTTGGAAACATGACAACAGACACTCTCTGGTCAAGTCTAAAATGTAAAATACTTAACGTAATAAAAAGTGCATCGCTGGCCGTGGTTTTCATGTGGAAGATATCTTGAAGCAGCATCTGAAGCAGCTGCTCTACAACACTTCAGATGCATAAATGAATATTACATCAAAGGAATATGGAGAGGAGGCGAAGTGGTGCACCCTGACCTCATGTAACCTCAGTATCAACATCAAGCACTCTTATCATCTGCATGTGGCAAACTCATGATAGTATTATGTGTTATCTTGTTTTTCCCACCCTGTTACGAGGTTAGGTCGAGTACACCTTCATGATTTTAAATATTGGTCTCCAGGGAAACATGTCAAAGAGTGATTAGCTGTTTGAATAGTTTCCTTCACATCTTTCGATCCTGAGACAAAGTCAGTGCTGCAATCCGTCTCCAGTATTTCACACTTTCCTCAAATGAATCTACATTGTAAATAAGTCAAATCAACTCGTCAGTCTATGATTTCTTTGTGTGCTCGTCAGAAACCTGTTAGGTCTCACAGGTAATCATCAAACCCTTGTTGGAAACAGACATATTTGCTGGTGAACTTTTATGGACTCCAACATGTCAGCAGCGAGCGTAGAAAACTTACACTCTTTCATCATGCCGATGTCAACGCAGCGTTTGAGGCGGCAGGCCTGGCAGTGGCGCCGGTTGTCCTTTGTGATGGTGCAGCTCCCGTTGAACGGGCAGGTGAAAGAGGCTTTGCGCTTCATGCTGCGCCTGTGGGATTCAATGCAGAGGACATAAGAGAGGGAGAATGTACTCCTCATGCTGCAACACTGAAGACATGACAAGTAATTAAAAGACCAAAACAAATGTTTAGAACGAGTTCAGATTTTATATAGTTCACATTCTTCCTCTTTCTCGTATGACACTGCAGCCCAGATTTACACAAATACAAACTACAAAATTAATAATAAAAATTCAAATGATACAATCTGTGACTAGAACAATAAAGAGAACCCTGTTTTAATTTTACAAACTTTAAATGAAATCTTTACTTCTTAAACTTGACCTCGACTAGTGGCACTGATAATCATAATAAGAATTATAATGATGGTTTGTTTGGAGGGCTGGAGGGAAGTTTTTTGCTGCTCCCTTAGGTCTGCTCAGAATTTAATATATTACATTTATTATTCAGTGAGTCCCCTTCAGAATAATTGACAAACAAAAGAAAGTGTGTGAATGAGAAAGAGGATGTGAGAGGGATGGGGCGAAAAGAATGAAAAAGATTAAAGACTGAATATTGTCTGTGCAGCCAGACACAAAAACAGACCTCATAATAAACCCAGTTTAAACTTTGAGCAGGCTCTCATACACACAGTAAGTATCTATAAAGTGCAATCAAGAGACACACATTTGAAAGCCCATAACCATGCAGTTATAATATACTGCTTCATGAAAAGTCCTCAAAAAAGACCCAGGTAGTTCACTTAGAGCTTTTAGGCTCCATGCACTCCTGAGAAGCTTTATGATGATTCATTTTGGCAGCAAAACATCACTGCAGCTTTGACAAAAATCCATATTTTAAGATTAAGATTAAGATTAACTTTATTGTCCCGGTGGGAAATTTGTCTTGGACTTCAAAGAGCTCTGATGCAGCAGCAAAATAACAAAATACATTCATTCTTTGGTAAAACATGTCAGTTAAATTATCATTAAATTCCATACAAAGTGAATTACTAAAACCATAAATATGTAATAGTTAAGAAAAGTAAGGAACAGTGCAGGTACATCTACACATCTTCACACACACACTCACGCCACCTCATACATGCACACTATACACACATTACAGCATAGGTACTGTTGAGGGCTTTGATGGACAAGGGAACAAAGGTAGATTTTAATAATAAATAAAAGTTGGGAATTGAATAAATTGAAAAGAAAGTAAGATTAACATCCAAACAATCTCAATGTCTATTGGGCTGCCTTAGAGTAAAGCCTCTTTTACACCACAATACAAGAAAAAACACTCAAGAAAAATGGACTTATGTTGCAGCATGACAGCCTTCAACGTGCTTTAAAGTGTGAGAAATCAATTTAAGTTCGACAGATGGCAGAAAGAGAAGTGGGTGCATGCTGTGAACACCTCTAACAGGATGCTGTTCACACCACACATTACTCAGGCTAACTCCAAAGAATGAAAAACACCCTCCACTTAACACAAAAAAAGAAACCATTAACACACGTACGATACATCAGGGTGCAAAAAAAACCCACCTAAAGAATCCCTTGCAGCCTTCGCAAGTCATGGCGTTGAAGTGGAAGCCGGTGGCCTTATCGCCGCACACACCACAGATCCGCGGGGCATTGCGGTCGAACTCCTCTGGTCCGACTACCGACGTCGTCACCGTCATGGGCTCCATCACTGCAGAAGGGAAAAAAGATGGAAAAGAGAAAAATGGTAAGTTTCATACTGCTGGAGTGCTGCGATGGTTCAGAGTGAAAACACATAAAAAAGGACGAGAGGAAGAGGAACGTGTTCTGTCTGAGAGCATCCATCTATTTCACCGACCTGAACGGTGAAAAAAATCTGTTTCCCCTGAGCGTGTGTGTTGTTGGGAGTGCTTTCCTCCTTTTATACAAACAGGTGTCGGGACATTAACATATTTAGCAAAAGGCACTGACAGCCACACTCTGCATCTCACAGCTATTGGCTGAATGACTCAGAGGACACAGGTACACCCACACACACCCACACACACACACACACACACACACACACAAGCGTGCATACACAGAATGTGAAATTACAGTGTTTACTGTGAACAGAATTAATGACAGATAGAGGGCCATTTGCCAAAGGCTGGGAAATGACTGATACATTTAATACAGTCAAGATGAAATATACCACGCTGCTCATTTCCACACACACACACAATCTGCCAATCCCCTATGAAATAAACAGCAGTAGTGTAACACACACCAACAGGTCAACTGTGAACAAACTAATCCATATGAGTCTGCAGAGACAGATCCTGTGTCAGTAGTCTGACTGAGGTGAGGAGGACGCTTCATGACAGTCAGAAGGGAAATGAGAAATGGAAGTATCACTGGATATCAAAGGTTTGATCTGAGTTTTTGTCTGTATCACACAACAACACTGACAAACACACTCTGGCTTGTTTTACATTCAATCCTAACTCTTTTGTTGATGTGCTCTTATAAATATGTTTCAGGTGTACTGGAAAATTGCAGGAACTCTTGGAAAGAAAAAATAAGTACAGAGTAAATTCAAAGTAGTTGATCGCTACTTGCTAGCATCAAAAAGTACCAAAACTTTGTAAATCTGCAGATCTTCAGTCATGTTTTTCATCAAGCGTTGCCTTCAGGAGAATTAGAGAATTGTCTAAACTGCATGTTTTTATTGAAATCAGACAGTGTGCAGGAGTGAGCTTGTGACGAAGAAAATGACCAATATAGGACGCCAAGGACTTCTTCTTTTTACTTGCTTTGGTATGAAAACAAGTTTCAATGTCATTTGATTTTTAACTCCAGAGATGAATATTTTTAAGTAGTTCAAGTTGACCAGTTCAAATCGCTAAAACAACAACAACAGCGACGACAACAACAACAACAACTACCTCTTGCGTTTTGTAGCTGCTGTCTTTTCTTTCTTTTGTTCGTTTCTTTACTCAACATCACAAAGCTGATAGAGAAAACAGACTGAAATGATCTGAAGGACAGAGAGGCACATTGTGTTGGCAGGGTTCAACAGTAACAGCTTCCAAGTTTCTACTGGCAACCATCATGACAAAACTGGCAACCCGAAGTTGTTTGTTTTTCTGGTAACCAGTTTTTAACATGTAGAGAAAATGGAATAGAGGGTACAGACGGGGAAAAATACATTCCTTTAAGTAAAATCAGTGATTAGGGTTTGAGAAATTAATGTGAAAAAGGATAAAAATCAACTGACTGGTGACAATTTTTAATGAAACAGTGAAGACCATGACAACAGCTGGATGATATGATGGAGGAGTTTTGTGAAACAGGAACTGAGTGTGGACTTGCCGATTAAACTAATTAAAGCAAAAATTTGAATTTTTTTTTCCAACCGGATAAAAACACAGCAGTTAAGGATCTATCCAGTTTCTGTCTTAAAAGTTTCAAATGATTTTTATTTTAAATTGACATTTCATTTAATAATATGCAATACAACAGCTTTATATCTTCAATATAAACATTCACATATTCTTATATTGTCAACTAAATCGGACTCCTGTTTTCTTTTTATTTGTTTTTTTTATAATTTAGTCCTGCAAAGATCCCTCGACCAATCAGATACCAGAGACTCATTCTTCATCTATCACCATGCAACCTTAAGTCTGTAAAAGGAACTCTTTGAGGCAGAAAATATTGTAAATGCATCGTGTATGAATGAAGAACGTGCATCTTACTCAGGTCTCTGTTCAAACACTGAATGATCATCTTTTATACCGTTAATATTTAATTTAAAAAAAGAGTCCTGTGTTTCCCTGTAGGGCGTTGATTTAGTTTGTTTCAAAGTATTTAATCAGTTAAGTCGTTCTTTTTGTATTAAGATTAAATAAACAGATCGAAGACAAAGAACGCCAGAGAAATCCGATGTGTGTGAGTGAGCCAAAGGTCATATGAGGCGAAGACGACCTAATGAGGACAAAGAGAGGAGGGGGGAAACATGCGATGAACTTAGGCACAGGAGGGGGGGGGGGGGGGTTGTCACGTGTCTTCAGAATCCAGCCTGTGGGGAGCTGACGTGTGGAGAAGTAGGACTCAGATGAAGTCGAAAGAGGACAAAGAGACAGGAGGCATTGGCTGCGAAGGAGCGATGGATGGACGAAAGGCAGAAATAATGAAAGAACTGGCAGGTGAGAGCACAACTGAAGGATGGAGACATCGTCAGACTCCATTAGCTCTCATTACTGATTGGCTGGTTTTGAAGCTCCGCCATCGGTTCCCATGGAAGATACAGAACGAGCTCACGCATGAGGCTGGAAACCTGTGAAGCATCAATCCCATTACCCACAAAGCACCACACGGGGAGAGCGGGACACGCACAGACTCACACACTTCAATGCATCTGGGCTGGAGGTGTTACTTTAATGCATGTTGACCATCCATGTATGGTTAAAATGTCAGCCCCCCCCCCCCCGGAGGTTGTCTCATTCACAAACATGAAGGGGATTTAAGGTCACAGAACAGACTGTTTACACCATTTAATCATCGTGTCACCAAAAAAAAAAAAAAAACAGCTTTTATTTCCCGACGCAGCAGCAGGTGAATAATGAAACGATGGAGAGAGGCAAGGTGTCAAGCATCTCAACACATTTGCAAAAACAACAAACAAAACGAGCTGCGGCTTCATAGTAGTGCTGATTAACTGCAGTGTGCACGCGCTCCAGGACTGTAATTAACAACTCTATACAGTATTATTTATTATCCAATCACTTCTGTCACTCTGTTTCCTGCCTCATGTGTTTCTCCCACTTGTTTCTCATTTGTAACTCTGATGATAATTAGCAAATTGTTATTCATTTATAGACGCCATGATTTGATGTTGGGGAGAAGTGGGCAAACTTTTGTTAACTCCATCTCTCTCTTTGTCTCCCCTCTACACCTACACCTTACCTGTTTTAATTTGTTTTTATTCATGTATGACTCCACCTTGACATCAAATCAATCAACAATCACAAAGACCAGCGAGAGATGAGACATGGCAGAATGTGGACACCCGCATATGATTTATTTATTTCACATAATTTCATGTTTATGTCTTTCTCTAACATTTGGACCATTTAACAAAGTCTTACCTGTGACACTTCACTTAATTATGGAAGTGTTATTTTCTGTTTATGACTTTTCATTTATGATCTCAAATGGAAACTTGATTCTTCTATAATTTGTGGTTATTACAATCTCTTTTTTTTTGCAAATTATGTATTTTACATGGTGGCCCTGAAGTAACCATCAGGCCATGTGTCAACCCCAGTGGTGTCACATTTTAAAATCAGTCTTGTCTAGGTCTCAGACGAAGGGGACTCCAGATTTTAAATCAAGACTGGTCAAAGACCACCACTGACGGGCTGTTTTTCAACGTCATTACTGTGATTAGCAGGAAACGGCCCTCACCTTACTAATTAAACGAATAACTTGGTGAGTCTTGGTCTTGTCTCGGTCTCGGAGCACTCTGGTCTCGGTTATGTCCAGAATAATCTGGAACTCATTTAATAAATATTTTAGAAAAATGTGAAATGACTGACAATAGAGCCAAACAAGACCTTTTCTTGGAGGCTTTCACAAAAATCATGTTCTTCCATTTTGAACCAATCAGATACTTTTCAATGATATTCATGAGGCAAATGAAAAAGATTAATTCAAGACAATTTCACATTATTTTCCCCCAATTAGAGTTCAGACCAACGTTGTCTCAGCTGTTATGTTCTGCCAGATGTGCTGCAACCATACAGAGGCACTGTTGACAGGCATTCTTTACTGGAATGTAAGTTCTGTTAAAGAATTTATATGTATAAATATTTGCTTTTTGTGATGTATTTGTTAATTGCCCATAAGCTATCAGATCAGGTTCAGTATCTGACAGAGATGTATAAATGGCTCAGTGTGGGACAGAGGCCAAAACAAAGCTCCGATCACTAAACAGATTCATTTTTACTTCACCCAAGCTGTGATGCTGCTTTTTAATATTTTACCAATTTTCATGTTTATTTGGATGCTGAAGTAGCAGCTAATGATGTCCACCGACCATGCCAAGAAAACAAATTGAACTGAGTTGGTAGAGACGAGAGAAGGAGAGCTGCACTACAAAACAGAACTCAGCTGTGTTTAATGGATTCTCCACGGATCCACTCTTATTCAAAGTGTGTGTGTGTGTGTGTGTGTGTGTGTGTGTGTGTGTGTGTGTGTGTGTGTGTGTGTGTAAAAACACTGGAGAGTCTTTCTAATAACTGTGTTTCAGAGCTACAGTCACAGTATTTCTCTCTACAGACAACACAATAACAACTTTGTATCTGTATGAACCTGCATGCGATTGCAATGTTCTTAGACTTAGACTTTATTTATTGTCATTCAAACTTGTACTTTACAGTGCAGATAAGAACGAAATTTCGTTGCATTTGGCTCGTTATAGTGCAGGATAAAAACAGCAGCATGTATTTACATATAAAAAAAAAAATAAGGTGCAGATATAAATAGATATAAAAAGAAAAACTATGAGTAAAAATACTATACAGATAAATATATTGCACGTTATATTGTGTTTTACAGTCCATTGTGTTTTACAGTCCAGTGTAAAACACTGTACAGTACAGTACAGTGTTTTACACTGTGTTTTAGAGTCCAGTTCTGTATATTGTATTACTTGAAAACAAATTC